CACCAAACTGAGAAATGACTCAGGACAGAGGAGCATCTGCATCCAGGAAATGGACTGTCCCTCTCCTGGTGGCAGCCAAAGAAGACTCGGGGACGCCCTGGTGGAAGCTGGGGTCAGAGGGCTGCAGGAGGACGGTCCCCAGGGGAAGCCGACTGCAGAGATGACCTCACAGGCCTGGGCCCTGCAACGCTGTGCCAAGTGGCATTTTAAAGGGCCAGTGGGGAGTGTGAAAACTGGGAGAGCAAAAAATAGTCCAAGAAGGAACATGTAATGGTAGCATTCTCTGTGGCTCAGCAGCCAACTATAAACAATAAAGTCTTAATAATGAAATTACACTGGACAGGGATGTGAATAAGCCAAACCTCAGTTATAGTAAGAGGAAGTCGGTAGGTAACATCTGAAAAGGATGAAGGGGCTATCACCGGCTGTGCATTTTGTTTAGAAATACAATGCTCGGGGCCAGCCCGGTGGCGCACTGCTACAGTGCGCCGCTTGGGAGCGTGGCAGCACGCTCCCGCCGAGGGTTCGGATCCCACATACAGACCGGTTCCCGCTCACTGGCTGAGCGAGGTGCAGGCGCAACACCGAGGGTTGCGATCCCGTTGCCAGTCCCGGTCTGGTACGGGCGCGACACTGAGGGTTGCGATCCGTTGCCGGACACGAAAAAAGACAAAAAGGAAAATTTAAAAAAAAAAAGAAATACGATGCTAACGCGAGGAGGCGCAGGTAAAGGGTTAAAGGGCTTCTTGCTGGGTGGCAACACAGCACCAGGCTGAAACCCTGATTCTGAACCTGCACATTTTAACCTTAACCACCCTGGGTCTTGATTTTCACATCTATAAAATGGGTATGATGATAATATCATTACCTATCTCATAGGTTTGTTGAGGATTAAAAAAAATAATCCATGTAAAAGCACTTAGAACAGTGCCTAGGATAAAACAAGCATAAATATACATCAGCCCCTATTATCACTGGTGTTGCTGTTATTTTGATAGATTTTTAAAATTTTTCTTTCTTCACTTCAGAAGGGAAAACCAAATCATTGTAAAGGGCAAAAATCATTTTTATAAACGTCAAATTTTAAAGGGACACGGGAACCTCTGAGACAAAAAATATTGCTCTTGCACTGTGTTCTGTTTTCCAATTTTTAAAAAGGGTTTTAAAAAGAAAGAAAAATATGTTGCTGGTGCTTTATTAAAGCACCAGCGAACAAAATATGCCCACCTTCCCCACCCCAAGTGTGGCCCACAGACCAGCAATGGCCACTGTGAGATGTTGTCTGGGCTGAGGTCCCTAGAACAGGACAAGACCGATCAGCCAGACTTCCACCCTCCAGTTCCATCCTGCATTTTACAGAGGAAGGAACCAAGGCCCAGGGCAGGCGAGTGTCAGGCCCAAGACCACAGTGTGAGCAGCTGAGCCTCTCTGGTCCAGCCTGGACCCAGTCAAGTCCATGTTGAAAGATAACATCCTTAAGACTCCACACCACAGGCTGGAAGGACAGCACCCAAGCCAGAGGGACAGTGAGCTCTGGAGCACAGGGAGGGAGCCCTTATAAGGGGTGTGTGTCACTTTGGGAATTTTAAATACTTTTCAAAAAAAATAAAACTCTAAAAACAGACCCAGCTCTGAGATCAAGTTTTAGAGTAAACAAAATAAATAAAAATAATAAATACCATAGACCCCTCTCCCCCAAAACTCTGTAAACCCTAAAACACTATAAAAACACAAGGTACCATTATACTTACATACCAGTGCAAGTAGCTCTCAGCGCTATGATCATCAGAAACCTTGCACCACCCCACCACTTCCCCGCCCCCACTCTCAGTTTGGTTTTTACAACTCTGTACAAGCTGACATGTCTACTTCTATCCTTGCCACATAGTAAACAGGATCTATATACATGTGCTGAGGAATGAATGAATGGATGATTCAGGGATAGCCGAGAATGAATACCCTGTTGTAGCTTTTTCTGAGGTTTCATAAGATATAAAAGTTTGTTTTAGAAGACAGACTTATCTCACATGCTAATTCATGGGGAAGAGGCACTTTCTAGAAAAACTGTAAACCATAAAGAAATTGCAAAGGGAGAGAACTGATTTGAAAGCTGACTGCTAAATACATACACCTGGAAGGTATGACAACCGCAGGGACTCCAGGATGGGAAGTGTCACCCTCCCAATTTCCTAAGTCCCCAGCATCCCTGCCATAAATGCAGAGTATCAAGACCCTCCCAACCTAAGGGGCTGCTTTTCCTGCCCACCAGGAGGCAAAGCACAGACAGGGGAAAACGGAGGACACGGTGTTGTGCCACTGTTTGGTGCTTCTGAGAATAAAAGCCCCAATGGAACAGAAGGCAGGTTCATCTCAAGGTCATTGTGATACTGCAGCCCAAGTGGAGAGTCCAGCCTGGTGAGTCCTCAGGTGTTGCTGGTCTGAGTGGAGAGAATGTCTTCGCCCTGCAAACAGCAGGTGGAAGTACACTGTGTGCCAGGCACGGTCTGGGCGCTCAGATACCATGGGGAGGAAGACAGAAAAAGATGCCTCACTTCACGGAGCCCACGCGACAGGGGAAAGACAACACAGAAGATGAATAAGTAAATGACATGAGATACTCGAAGTCGGTGAGTGCTGTGGACACACCCAGCTGGATGATCCAAGTAAAGGAATGAAAAAACAAACCAGCACAGGTTCTGTTTAAAATAACAGAGGCAGAGTGGGATTCGCCTCGGCCCCACGACTGCCTTAGCTGACCATAGAGAGAGATAAACCTCCCCGGCTTCCCCGCTGGGCCAGATGTGATGCTTGATTGTGAAACTCGGTTAGACGACTTCTCCCAGTGCCTGCATCCTCCTCCGCTCTAGAAACGCGTAGCTCACTCCCTGGTTTTACTTTCCATGCAGCGGGACCCACGAGAGGACGCGGGGCCTGGGGTCAGCCACCTGGGTCTGCATCCTGGCTCTGCCTGCACCGAGCCGGGCAGCCTTGGGCGAGCTGCTGCTGCACCTGTCAGACCATGTCCCTGCCTCTGCGAGTCATGAGGCTCACCGTGGTGACCCAGACTGAGGCCCGGACACCCCAGCATCACCAGTGCCCCTCCCTTCCTGGCACCGTCTGCGTTCTCAGGCGGCTGACAGGTGTGGGAGGCCCTCCAAGCCCTGAAGCAATCGCCAAGCACAGTCCAGGCTTAAGGACACAAACCTAGAAGTTCTATGCTGGGTGTCAAGGTGGGGGTGTGGAAAGAGGCTGCCCAATTCTGGAAGCTCTCTCTGTGGGATGCAGACAGGGCACAGCAACCCAACCCCAGAGCTGCATGACCCGAAAGTTTCCCCTTCCCCACTGCCCCCACTGCACACACCATTAGAGTCCTACAGGGGCTTTCCCGGGTCCTGGCACAAGGTCTCCTCCTTGCTTTGGCAGCCAGGTTTCCCAGGTGTGGCCTCACCTGCCCCCAGCCTCAAGCCCTCCAACAGAAGCCTCC